CTATCTAAGGTTTTATAGATAGCTTGCCTAGTTTTTTAACTATTTATAGTCCTTTCTTAAAACCTTATTAATATTTTTAATATTTTATTATATAATACTCTATAATTATTACAGATCTTCTATAAGCTATTGTATGCTTTCTTTCTGTATTATAGGCTTTATAGGGCTAAGGATCTGTCCTTATTGCTATAGGTAATATTATTCTTCAACTTTATCGTCTATATATACTTAATATTTCTTATTTTTGTAGATACGCTATTTGGTGGGGTTATATAGATATATTAAGAGGGTATATGGGTTGAGTTAAAACATTATATAGCCTATATTATTGTGTTGTTTTTTAAATTTCTATTCCTTAAAGTCGTCCTTTTTATAGGTTTCCCAAATGTCCTACCTTTAGTGCCTCTAGGAGAACTAGTCATAGCTTGCTTTCTCCTGTTTATAGATCCTGTATCTATTATAGATGCATGAGGCCCAAGAAATGCTGGAATAGTAACTATAGCAAGAGAACATTCTTTTTGCGTCTCTATCCTTCTTAGTCTCCTTCCTCGGTTCTCGTGTTACCTATTTAAGGGGTCGTCCTATAATTAGTACTTCTGTAATGTTAGTCCTAGGGGCTAATAGGGGTGCTTTTTCTAAGTATGCCCGCGGGTTCTCTTGCTATGCTTAAGGTATAAGTAGGTCTTAAGGAATTTTCCCTGCTAACTCCTGCCTTGGGTCGTATAGGAGTTTCTTTCGTCCTCCTATAGCTAGGGTGTACCATTGTCCTGCGCCCTTGGGAAACTAGTCGGCTCCTTCTTTATTGCTTTAATATATAATATAGCTGTCGTTGTAGCAGGCTGTCTAACTAAGCAAGGCATGTTTCTTGGCTTCTTCTACTCTGTCTAGTTCTGTTTATACTATTTATAATAGTTACTGTTGGATTATTTCTTCTGTTTTTAACTTATCTTCTTATTTGTCATTAATAGGCGAGTTTTTAGGGAGTAATGCTAAATAGGATTCTTCTGTCTTCTGCTGCTTGGTCTAGATACACTGGGCACGGCTTGTACCACTCTATTCTATACCGGCAATATTATTTGATAATGGCTTATTGTATTTTTAAGCGTGGTGATCCGCTGATATGGGTAATTACGTTGGCTTGCCTGAAGCCTTTGGGTACAGGCTTCTAGTCTCTCTTCTTACTACGGTACTCCCGTATAAAGTGTCCTTTCTTTCCGCAGTTAAAGTATTTAATGTCTTTTTTATCTTTTCGTTAAGCAGCATCGAGCTCTATAGGGCCTGCTTGCTGTCCCTACTAGGTTGGGTTATTACAATTATACCTCCTTTTAGAGTTAGGCTTGCTTTATTTATTAGAGTTGTTATTCCGGAATTATCTAGAGGTATTACCTTTTTATTCCAGGCGTTATTTGTAGAGCCTATTGTCGATTTTAATAGCTAGTTTAACGTACTATAGAAAGTCGTCGGGTCAATTTTATTTAGCCAATTTATCCTTTACTTCTTCCTTTAGTTTTTAGTAGAATATAAAGATCTTGGTGCTATCTATGTAGTTAACTCAGGCACAGATCCTGCGGAATTCTACAGCATAGACTATTGCTAGGCCTTGCTGTTTATAGTTTATAAGTTCTTGTTCCACTTGTCGTTCTTTATCTAGGTCTTGGAATAAAGATCTAAGGGCATTTTTATAGTTCTCGTATTTACTAAAAATATCTTGCATTTCCTACTTACAACTCTTAAAGTCTTTAGCATTGACAAAATCAGTAAGGTAAGGTTTAAACCAGGCAAAGGCTCTTCCTTTTAGAAATAAGGACACATATATAATTTATTTCCTATCCAGCTAATTATTTATCTAGTTGAAACACTGGTAAGCCCAGACTTGTATAAGATAGGCCTATAGCTATCCAGTCGTTCTATTATATAGGGTTAGACTGTTGAGTCTAAGGTTTTCCTTAGTCGGAATTAGGGTACTAATAATATTAGCGGTGGCTTAAAAGGTAGTAACTTCCTACTTAAGTCGGTCCATTTCTTTGTTTTGGCAAGCCTACCTATTGATAAAGGCGCAGAGCCTGGTTATTTTGCTAACCAGCTCAAGGAGCTGTTAGGGATTTATTCCGGTATTACTGTTATTACGGCTTGCGTCGTCTAATTTCTAGGCAAGGTTGCATTAAGGTTAGTTGTTTCTAAATCCAGACATTATAAAGAGATTTACGTATAATATTGCTTAAAGTCTGCATTGTAATATATAAACAAGAATAGTTAAAATATAATAATTAAGAGTTTCTAGGTTCTCTAAACCGAAAGATCAGATTTATGTCTAAAATATATAACAAGGCAGTTGATTAAACAATAGAGTTTCTAACAATAATTACAAGCTAGTAAAAGCTATTCAAGAGTAAATACTTAGATTAACTACTAAAGAGCTGTCTATACTATCTAGCTATCTGGTAATAAGTGTGTCCTTATATGTCTATCTCTTTAGTACGGTTTGTCATAGCTCACTGGGCTTACTGGTAATCCAGTAATCCGTAGTAATCCAGTCGGCTTACTTGGCTTACTGCCTTATTGGTGATCCAAGTGATTCAGGGCTTAGGTAAGCAAGTGTCTTAGTCACGTGCCCGTTGGTTCGTGCCTCTTTCTACTGGCCTATCCAGCTGGCCTGTAGGGTTTATCTACGCCTCCAGGGGACCAACAGTCAAACCCTAGTTCTATTTCTATTACGTTCGTGACAGGCTAGCAGAACTTGGGCACCTGTTATGCTCGGCTTTAGTGTCTACGTTTTTAATAATAAAAGTTAAGATTTTAATAATATAATTTTAAAAACTAAAATCTCTAAATAAAATCTTTATTTTAAAAATATAAATAATATCTTCTCTTTAAACCTTATAATATTTCTAGTACTTTATAATTAGAAAAGAAATATATTAAATAAAAATACTTAATTTCAGCTATATATCTATAAAGTATATATACTAAAAGATAAGTTTAATAGCTATAAATTAATTTTTTAGGCTATTTTAAAATCTTACTTTATATTACCCTTATTTCTTACCTAAAAAATATATGTAAAGGTTAGTAGATCAAATAGGTGTCAGGTAGTAGTAGGGTGCCTGGAGGCCTTGTTGGAACAATTAAGAGTGGTTTAGACAACTTTATATTGAATTTAAGTGGGCTTCTATCAGCCCTCCTCACAGTCTCTCTAATATTATCTTACCCACGGGCATGCGTGGGTTGGCTCTGGTACGCAGATAGGGAGGCCGGAAAATTCGGCCCTTAGACCTACTATCTTTGGCTTTAAATAACCAGCCAACCCTAACCCTAATAGTAACTAAACTAAGTGTAGATAAACTTTAGAAAACAGGCTATCTAATAAACTAAGTTATATACTTTTTGGGTAAGCAATAAGGGTAATGTAGAGGTATGAAGTTAGGGTCTTAAAACAGCCTAAAAAATCAACTCACGGCTACCAAACTCATCTTTCGGCGTGCATGCCCTATAGGTACTTAGAGGAAATCCAGTACCAAGTCTAAGGTAACTCTCTATATACAGCGCCTATACAAGTATTTCCGTTTAATAATATATAACTTAATTTATTAAATAATCTAATTTCTAAAGTTTATTTATATTTAGTTTAGTTATTATTAAAATTAGGGTTAGCTAGTTATTTAAAGTTAAAAATAGTAGGTCTAAAGGACGAATTTTCCAGCCTTGCTATTCTTATACTAGAGTATAATAATCATACTAAACCTTTATAGGGTTTATATTAGTAGTATAGTATAGAGGTGATACTTGACTATACTTATATAAGATATGATGATTCTACGAGTATGATTACTAGCTATGAGGCTATCTAGTTATTAGACTAAATACTTAGATTAATGACTAAAGAGTCTGTTTTATGGAAGCTATTTATAGTGGTAATAACTATGTCCTTATATGTTCTGACTCTTTATTTATAGTATATATATTAGACTGTTTAGATTGCTATTGATGTCTATAGTCCAGTTTGTAGTTACTAGGACTGTTACTGGTCCTGTTAGTCTATCCTTATAGGGAGGTCCTAGGTCCTAACCCTAGTCTTGGTATATCTTGTAACTCTGCTTTAGTGTTATTTCTTTAACGTTGTAGTATTTATCTTGATACTGTCCTGATGGTTTCCCTAGTACTAACGGGTTGGTTTATAATACTATCTCCCTTCTTATGTCCTTTATCCTTAAAGATACTTTTGTAAGCTTCTTGTATATTATTTATATATTAGTTTATGCCTTCCTAATTTATCATGTCTAGTAGGGTTGAAAATTCTTAGGTTTTGAAATTATCTTGTCCTTGTAAGAAGACTAAGTAGTCCTAAGCCCTCTACCTTGCTACCTTGTCTTGTTATTTAGAGATGCTGACTTGCTTATCCTGTAAGTTAAGTAACGTTGTCTACTTTGCTTTTAAGGAGGACTCTTCCTACTGTGTTAAGTGTATATTTAGGAAGCGAGGGAACTATGACATGTATGGGCTTACCCTGGCTTAGATGTAGAAGATTGCTTGCTAATACTCCCTGATTGAAAATAAGCTAGATGCTGTGGAGGAGGAGGCTATGCTAGTAAACACAAAGGTATAGTACCTTTAAAAGTAGTGCTGCCTGTGGGCTAAGAGAATAGTAAACACTATTTACTATGGTCTGGATATAATTAAGGAACTAGATTAAGTCAAGTATAAGGAGGCTGAGGCTGAGTAATGGATTATTGTATAATCTACTGAGGTTGTTTGTTGGGGTTTGCCTGATGCGAGTGGTAGCCTTGGTGACTAGGAGGCCTGGCTTTATACTGGTAGGGATGTTGGTGTTTTTGATTAGAGTTCTATGGTAAGTAAGGGTATGGACTTGTTAGAGATTCTTGGCTTGCTTATCTCTAGTAGTGAAGGGAATGTACTTGTAGGTAGTTTATCTAGTTCTTGACCTTGTTATACTAATAGGTCCTACTATCTTCCTGTTAGGAGTAGCTTACTAGACTCTTTCTGCTCTTGTAGCTTAACTGGTAGAGCTTCCTACCCTTAGTAAGAGGACCCAGGTTCAATTCTTAGTAGTAGCTTAGTTTAGTAAGGTATTCCCTTTTTACTTTTTCCCTTGCTAGTTTGACTAGTTCCTAGGTTTATATATATAGGTATGGGCCTATAGTGTTTTTTTAGAGATGGTGATCTACCTTACCTATATAGTTCTATAGTTTAATGGGTAGAATACTAGTAATTAGGACTAGAGACTTGGGTTTGATTCCTAGTAGTTCCTTTAAGGTAGATTATTATCTCCTTTTTATTAGTTCTTAGTTCTATAGCCTTATAGCTTTCTTTAAGAGGGTAATTATTTCTGTTTCTTCTAGACTATCTTGGGTAAGTAGTACTAAAGATCTTATAGCCTAGTTAGGAGGGTGCTTGCTTTTGAGCAGGAGATCTAGGTTTGACTCCTGGTAAGGTTCCTATATTACTTATTTAATTTAGTTCTTTTTATTTTATTTTTAGCTAGTTTAGTCCTAGGCCTAGTACTGTTAAAGGATTTGCTTGTAACTAGTAAGATTTTCAATTAGCTCCCATGTATTCTCGCTAGGGTTATAATCTTTCTACTTAATAAAGTATTTTATTATTCCTTAGTGTTGTTGTGAGTTGATGATTTGTTCTACTTCGTATTCTTTATTATATTTATTAATGGTTTTAATCTATGTTTTAATTCTTGTATTTTATAGTATTAGTTCTAAGAGTGAAATATAAAAGATTAGATATTACCTTATTCCCTAAGGTAATGAGAGTTTGTAGTTAGTGTCTGAAAGTTTCTTGGAGATTTTAAAGGGTCTAATCTTCTTATAGTTAAGCTTATTACTAGGGTGCTTGGTTTTAATGTTTTGTTAGAGAAGGTAGACTTTATCTCCCTTCCTGAGAATTAGTCTTTTAATTCTTTTCTAGTTTATGTATTTTATTATTCTACTTTGTATAAAAGAAAGTTTGTCTTAGACATCCCTCTAGATTTGTTTAATTCTTATTGTTTTTTATTCTACCAATTCTATTATTATATTGTTAGGTAAGGCTTTATAGTAAGCCTAGGGTTTATATTTATAGACTATAAAGAAAGGTAATTGTTGAGTTATACTAGTTATTATGCTGTTGTAGGCAAACTATGCTAATAGTAGTAGTTTAACCTAGTTATCTTGTAACTAGTTGATGTAATATTAAAGATATTATTTTATAATTTAGTTAATTCGTTTTGTTTATCTGTCTATTTATGGGTATGCTATTATTAAGAGCTTGTATTTAGTTCTAAGTTATTTTATTAGTAACTTCTAGAAGTTTGATGTAAAGAGTTTATCTCTATTTAATATAATCTTGTGTAGTATTCCGTGATTACTTATAATAATTTGTAGAAATGTATATATGAGTTCTTCTACTATGCTGGCTTTCTTATATAATATAAAGTATATATACTTACTTAGTTTATAAACTACTACTAAAATGCTGTTGAAAAGTACTTTAGTTAAGGGTTCTTGTAAGAGAGGTAGCTTAATGATGAAGTTTAGACTAATGGATAACTATATAGTTATAGGTACTAGTAGGGGTTTTAATAGTCTATATGGTTTATATCTAGAAGCTTTGTTTTTATTATAAAAGTTATATTACCTAATAACTTCTTGTGTTCTTTATCTAAGATTTAGGATTTAGTAGGTTTGTTAAATCCTCTTGATTATTATTGATATACCTTGATATTTATATACTAGGGCTTTGTGTATTTCCTTGATTAGGTTATTTTGTTCCTTAGGATCTGTAGGTGTTTTCTTAGGTATGATGTTGATCCTGAGTATAGTGTCGAGTTCTTGGTTAAGTAAGAGGCTTTTATCTTCCTAAGTTTTGAAGATCGTCTATTTAGTAAGAGATTCCTTGCTCTAGTAGTTAGGTTACCTACTAAGAGTATCTACTTAGATATTTTTAATTCTATCTATATATATAACTTTGATGTTAAACTATGAGAGAAACTCTATATATCTAACCTACCTCTTGTTAAGTTGTTTAGTTATAGTAAATATTATTAGGTTCTTGTAATCTGTGTAGAGCTTGATTTGTTCCTTAGCTTTGATAAGGTACTATTACTATTCCTGAAATGTGTATACTATCACCATGAACTCTTTATTAGGTATAGTATAGCGTGTTTCTGGTCTATTAAATTTCTTACTAAAGTTCGTAATGATGTATACTTATCCTTGCTCATCTCTCTAAGTAAGTTCTCTACCTACTATATTGTCTAAGGTATTTATATATATCTTGAACTCTTTAGTAGGATCTACTTCTTTAAGTACTAGGTCCTTAGTAACCTTATCCTTGATTTTATTAAATGCTTACTAAGTTTCCTTTATTTATTTAAATGTTTATTCCTTTCTAGTAAGGTTTGTAAGAGGCTTGTAAATATTACTATAGTTCCTGATAAATTGTTTATAGAAATTAGTATAGCCTAGGAATACCCTGATGTCTTTAATGTTATTTAGTACTAGCTATTCTTTAATTACTTTGACCTTGTTTTTCTATATCTTGATACATCCTAGTTTAATAATATATCTAAGGTAGTTGACTTTTTATATATAAAAGTAGCTCTTTTCTAGTTTTACTAGGAGGTTTGTATTCTAGAGTTTCTAGAGTACTTGTTTAATATACTCCTTATATTTTTTAAGGGTTGTTAAGAAGATGAGGATATCGTTAAGGTATATAATAATGAAAATATCAAGGTACTTATATAGGACTTAGTTAATTATTTCCTAGAATAATACTAGTATATTAGTTAGTCTAAAGGGTATAACCATGTATTTATAGTATTTATAGTATATTTAAAATATAGTTTTTTATTCTTCTCCTTCCTTTATCTAGATTAGGTTATAGGCTCCTTTAAGGTCTAGAGCTATAAACTATTTTACTCCTTTAAGTTAGTCTTATAGTTTCTTAATAAGTAATAGTAGGTACTAGTTCTTAATAGTGATGTTGTTTAATTGTTAGTAGTCTATATAGAGTTATAGCTTACTGTTTTTCTTAGGTATAAATAGGATAAGTGTTGAATGGCCTTTGCCATATGGCGTAATGTACGTACGTACGTGTCTGTGCAATTGGTTCTGAATTCGTTGATGTCTGTCTAAACTATAAAACAAGCGGGGAAGTTCGTACGCAGACCTAAGAGGTCTGCATGCACTCCCTTGCCTGATTAGTCATCATCCCTAGCCAAGATGGCTATGTGCGATCAGCCTCAGTGCTATTCCAACAATAAGGTATCTTACTAGTAATCTTGAAGGTTGTATGTATCTTTTTTAAAGGTTCTTGTTTAGGTATTCCCTAAGTACCTTGAGTTTTTCTTTATTAAGTTTATAGATTTTCAAGAAGCTGGGTATCTTTCCTTCTTATAGGGGTATCTCGTGATCTTATTAATTATGTTTAGGGATTCCTGTGTTAAGTTCTTCTTAAAATACTTTTCTGAATTTGTAATATTTATATAGTACTCTTTCGAGTCTTGCTAGGGCCTTCTCTTCTCTATACTATAAGTAGAGGAGGTATTATCATGTTTCCTGTTAGTATATAGTTGAATAGTTAGTTTGTGGTGGACTATGACTTTCTTATAGTTTTGATTAACTTCTACCTTCTTTTAAGGTCTGAGATTAGTCTGATCTTTCTCTATTTTCCTAAAGCTAAGTCTTTCTTTAACTACTTTTAGAGGTATTTATGGGTTTGTTTAAGTATGTCTCTTTGCTATCCTTAGTAACTAAACTCTATCCCTTACTATTAATTATAACCTTCTCCTAGGGAATAGCATTGTCCTAGTAGATCTAGCTAGTAGTCTAATTAATTTGGGGATTTGTAGCCCTTGGCTATGGAAGTCCTAAGATTAGTTCGTGATGTATTATATCTATGATATCTAGAGTTATAGAAGTAGTGTATCCTTGGATCAAGACTAGTAGATGATTAGTCTCTATGTTAATTATTTTATCTCTATATCCTACTTCTATACCTTTTATAGTACTAAGTTTATAGGGGTCTTCCTTTTAATACTAAGAGATCTTGTTTCTATTGATGATATCTAGTAATATAAAGTTGCCCTAAGTGCTACTATCTAATAGTACGCTATATGTCTTCCTGTTAATTTCTACCCTTAGTAGAATATATGTGTAATTACTTGTTTATATTGTATATAGGGATCTGTGGTCTTTGATTAGCTGTTGTCCCCTTATAGGTAATCGTTATCTTTTCTTAATTCCTTCTAGTTTCTAGTCTAGGTTTTTATAATATACTATTTCTTTGTTTAGTTATTATGCTAGCTTATTAGCTTGTATTCTCTATGAATAGGGTATCCTAGTAATCTATAGTCTTGAGGTTACTGCCTACCCCGTAGGCATTCTAGTAGTAGCTAGGAGTTTAAGGTAAAAATAGTATAGGCCTTTTCCTTGTTATATTTACTAGGCTTTTAGTAATACAGCTCGTCTTCTTTATATACCCTGGTAATAGGTCTTTTACTAAAGTGTTGGGGAAATAAGTTAAACTTGGCTTTTTCTTTAAAGTAAGTGTGGTAGAGGTTCTAAATATAGGAGGCCTAAGGGATTTCCTAATATTCTGGGTATCCTAGCTATAGGTGTGGTTTGTTACCTATTCTATATTATTTAGGTAGTTAGCTAAGTTCTCTAATTACTTGAGTTAACTAGATTCCTATGATAGTAATCCTGGTAGTACTGGTATCTAGGGTGATGGGAATGCTATGTTTTAGGTATTTTTCAGGGTTTTTATTAGGGCTTTTAGTAGGGTCTTTATTTTGCTTTGTTAGTTAGTTGGTCTATAGTAGACTACCTTTCTTCTAGGTATCCTTCTGGGAGTCTTCTACTCTAGTATACTCAGTACTTAAATAATCCGAGTTACTATCCTTTATTACTGTTTTGTATAGTAGTCCTTGTCTTCTTATTACTAACTATCGTTCCTGTTAAGGCTCTGTAAGGAACCATCTAGAGGCTTCTTTCTCTAAAAGGTATAGTATATACTGATTATTAAAATAGAAGGTCTAATTAAGGGTTTTGTATTATTTATTAGTGTCTACTACTTACTTGGAATTAGGTAGTAGGTTGTCTAGATTTTCAGGTTCCTACTTATTAGGGTGGATTAGATATTCTATATAGAGATTAGGTTGATATATATAGTCTGTCCTACCTTTTGGGTATAATGGGTATTTCTTATTAAGCAAGTAGCTATATTATTTAGGTAGCTCTTCTTATTAGGTTATATTAACCTACCTTTGTCTTTTAGGGATGGGTTTTCATTACTTCTTAGGTTTGTGATACTCCTTAGTAAAGTATCCTCTCTGTTTATAGTTATAGTATTCCTGGTTATGAGGCTTTTATTAAGTTGTGTCGAGCTCTATAGGTCTTGTGTAAGTACTTGTTGTAGTGCTATGGTATCCTTGTTGGTACTGAGG